CATCATGGGTTTTAAATGTAACAATAGAATTAGCAATGAAAACTGCATCCATCATGATATCAACATAACCTGATTTCAACGTAAAAACATGGTAAAAATATAGTTGGCCAGCTGCTCAGATGATGTACTAAACCTAAAATTTTGAATATTTCATAATTTAGTTTTTTAAATTGTGGTATGAGTGGCACATTATATATATATATATATATATATATATATATACATATATGTGTGTATGTGTCACGACGTGGTGGAATCAGGCGCTCGTCAATTTTTGGGTATATTATATGGAGTTATTGGTATCATTTTAAAGCTTGTTCAATTGTCTTACTATCGGTGAAAAAAAATTTCCATTGATCTTCAATAGAAGTCAAAATATTTGAGATTGAAGAAGGTGGGGTCGCCTAGTTTCAAAGGTAGAGTTAGCGAGAAAATGGCTGCCAAAGTTTGGTTATTCCCATAGCCTAATAGTCCGTGGAAACTGAAAACTTACATTTTTTGGGCATTTAATCAATGTCTTTCAGTTAAATCCACCCAGAAATGAGTTCTTAATTGGACAACAATGGTGTTATGCCAAAAAACACAAATTCGCTAAAAATTGCCAAACTGGCAGAAAAATGCGAGTTTCTTCAATTTCATTATTTTGACGAGCGCCTGATTTCACCACGCTGCCTCACATATACATATATATATGTATATATATAATGGAACCATAAAACTGGATCCACAAAGTCCCAACACATATGACATGTGATATATACGAAGTTTGTTTTTATGTTTGGTTGTTTGTTAGAGTAAACAGAAGGACATCATCACAATAATGGTTATCAAGTACTGGGAAAAAGTAAGGCAGACAGACAGAAACAACGGAGGGAAGGTAAAGAAGAAGGATTTACCACTGGCGCCCTCCAGCAACATACCATAAACAAAGGACGTGAAAGACTTATACTTAAAGAGGAAAAGAAAAACCCCCCAAAAAACAAAGAAGATTTTGATGAGGGTAGGTCTAGCTTATTTCTACGCATTTCATATCCTCATCCTCGTAATATAATAACAGATGTATTAAACCATGTCCTCATCTTTGTAACATAAATACAGATGTATTAAACCCCCATCAACACATTTCAGATCATTTAAGACACAGGCTGCTTCAACACCGACTATTCTCATCATTTGACATCAACAATGGTACTTGATAGAGAGTACTTTTAAACCTTTAGCAAGGAGCTACAAGAATGACCATGTGAAAAATGTTCTTCCACAAAGCAGCAAAAAAAGCAAGAGTGTCTGACGGTTGTATCAGCTGTGTTAAAAATTAGAAGGAACCCCACACATGTAGAAACTGAAGCTCAATACGACATGGTCATTTCATCAAATTTTGATTGTAGGAGTCGACACAATCTAGTCTGCTTCTACTCTGCCTGTTTGGGCCAACCCGGGCTGAAAGCAGACAGACGGAGATATACTCAACGAAAAGCCTCACAACACAGACATCCAAGTCATGTTTTCCGCATGTGAAAGCAAAGTGCCTAACCGATAGAGCACAGACCCCATTCAGCTGTGTTGGAAATCACACGCAATTTTTGAGACATAAAAACTATAGCTTAACACATTGTCAGGACAGGAATATTGACAGAGTAGTCACATTTTAAGACAAAATGTCAGCCCACGACAATGTTAACCCTTGCGCAATGTTCAGCATTTTGAGTACTTGAAGTACTACCCTGAAAACAAAGCTTAGCTCGACTTATCATGTACATTATAAGTAATTTATCATTGTACAAGGCATTCCAACGATCATGCGTGAGGCATCTGGTCTCTTACATACGTGATGTCTGGTCTATCATGTACACGAGGTTCCAATAATCATATAAAAGACATCTGATCTATGAAGTGCGTGAAATGTCAATTTTTCTAATGCATGGTGTCTGATCTATCAAGAAACGTGATGTCCGATAAGTAATGCACCTTTCGTCCCAACTATCAGAAGCGCAGTGTCTAATCAATCATAATTTCTGAACTATAATGAAAAATATATCTGATCTATCACATAATGTGACATCTGTACTAACATTAATAAGAAGTAACCATATGGACAGATTTCCAACTTGTCAATGAAGCAAAATCTTGCACCACCAAGTTTGGCTGCAAAACTTATTCTGCAGACCACTTTCACGGAGGAGAGAAAAAAGATTTGAAAACAAATTTCAAACTTCTTAAAGGCACATCCACCCAGTTTTTCAAGCATCTGGTCTAAATTAATGTTCCTTGATGTTTAGTAATAGTAAAACATAACTAAAAGTCTTGCTCCAGGCACGTTACAAATATGTGTCATCAGATCTGTGTAGTATACAACATGCAATCTCTCTGGTGTCTAGTGCACAATATCTGATTTAAAAAGAGACTGTGAATGAATATTCTTTCTTTGTTGAAATATTTTGTTGACTAGAGTCTGTGCGTGTGATCCCACTTAAACAGCAAGAGCAAACAGAAGGGGGCTGAGACAGACTGAGATTTATAGCTGTGGAGCGGAAAATATACAACAACATACTCATATGTAACAACATAAAATATATGTAGAAACATAAATGTGTAACGGCACGAATATGTAACAGCCCAAATATAACAGAAGCAGAAACTAGCAATACTATGCATCTGAGTCGCTGGGCTTGTGAGTGTGTGCATGCATGCCCAGGTGTGTATGTGTGTGTGTGTGGGAGTATGTGTGTGTGTGTTTTAGTGTGTATGTATTTTACTGAATACGTGTACACAAAAAGGTGAAAATATATTTTTTAAAATATACACAAAATTACATATCTGTATTTATTATATTATGTACATGCAAACATCCCCTCCCCCCGAAAAAACCCCCCCAACCCCAAACACACACACACACAAACACAGACACACACACATTTACATAAACCCATACATATACACAAAACATACATACACGTGAGGTGGGAAAGAGAGTAGACCGCAAGAAAAAGAAGACAGCAGCAAAAAAGATTCTCTCACAAGTATCTGTAATAATGGTTGGGCCTGAGAAACTCAGTGGGCATAATAAAGAAACTTGATGAATGCACAAATAAAAGTTATGAAGTTCATTACCTCATATTCATAAATCTTTCATGTAACAACATAAATTTTATAAACGAACCTTTCATTCGCGAACAAGTTTTATTCGTAAATCTTTCATACGACAACAGATCTATTCCCAAATCTTTCATGCAACAACAGCAACAATGTTATAAAAAGACAAAACACTTGAAATTAAAACAATACTACATGTATACCAAAAGTGAAGATAAACCGCTTTCCTTTCAGTATACTTCACTGACAGGAGGGAAACTTTAATCAAACATGAACAAATAAATATCCTCATTCAACCGTACTGCAATGAAAAAAAAAAAGATATTCTCAAAAAAGGTAAAAAAAATGTCCAAGTCACCCCTTTCCCTCCCCAACCTCAGGCCCCAAACAAAAGAATGAAAATGAAGCCCACCAAAAAGAAGAAAAACAAAAAAAACACCCCAAAAACATACACAGACCAACCCAAATACAAAACAAGCCTAAGATAACAAAAATCTCCACCACAATTGTCATTATATGACAGTGTCAGATCTATCAGTGTCACATCTGTCATTAACAGTCAGTGTCAGGTCTGTCATCATCTGTCGTCAGACTGTCAGGTCGGTCATTATCTATGTTAGGCCTGTAAATGTAATCATATGACAGTGTCAAGTCTGTCATCATCTGTCGGTCACAGTGTCAGGTCTCTCATTTCGTCGCCGGCATTCATCATTGTCGTATGTCAAAATGCGAGGTTTTCAGGAGAAGCAAAAAACTGTTTTATTTCGAACAGGTTCTCGATAAGACAAATATTGTAACATAGAATTACGTTATTTTCGGCGCTGATTTCAAAAATCGAATAAAATTTTAAATACATCAGCTACATTCTCTGTTGTACGACATACGACTTTGTTACTTAAAATTTTCGTCAAGTACAATGTATCAAGGCGACTTACGACAACAATGACGCAATTGAACCCTGTTGTAAGTCGACATACGACAACGATTCTTTATGAAATATTGTTGGAATAAAGAGAACCCGTTATCATTTCATTGTAGCATACTACAATATGTCTGCAACTCCAAGAACATGTATTAGAAATGTGTTAGTCAAACTTAGTACCAATGTGCTGTATTTTCAAGGTGCAAATGGAATAATATTATAAATGGTTTGAGACAGTTAAACAACGTAGATATCTCTCAGACATTCTTTATAATTCTTCAGAAGCTCAACATTTTTTAACTTGTGTGGCTTCACAACTAACATCTAATACAATAACCATCCATTGGCTCCCTAGAAGTACAATTACCCTGTTACTTGCTTTGGGTGAATAGTAGTAGTAGAGAATCATGTCGGCGAACCTCTCTTTTCAAATCATTTATCAAGCAAATGAATAAAGGACGAACATAGCAGTGACTGTGGTGTAATGGTTAGGTGCTTCGCCTTCCATGCGTCTCTCTGATGAGATTCGTCCCGCTCAGCCCGGGTTGGCCCTGACAGGCAGGGTCGAAGTCGCCCTTCTCTTAAACGGCCTTACAATATTAAAAAGGGACGTTAAACTAAAAACCAAAAACCAAAAGGACGAACATAGAAAGTCATCAGAGTTTGAACAATTTTCTTTCAATTACAACAAAACTTGACTTCCGCCTAGATGACTAGGTGCGCATATTTTGGACTAAATGGCCAAATAAGACATTGATTAGATATAATATTAACTGGAGAAGCTACTATTTTCATGTATTATTTTTAACAACTCAACAACCACCTGATGACCAGATGCACACATTTTGATTATATGACCAAATAACACAATGGTTAGATAATGCATTGTGTACTAGCTTTCAACGTTCAGTTTCACAATTTAAGAGTCGCCTGGATGAATAGATGAGATATTGATTAGACATTATCATATTTTTAGAAATTATTATTTTCAGGTCTTAAGTTTTCTAAATGATAAATAAACAGAAAAATGAGAATAGGGTACATTCATCTGTATCTCAACAGTATATGACTAGTTCATACATGTATAATAAGTATTCTTTTTGATCCAAGAAGCTTAAAAGCATTAAGTAACGGCAACAATATGTACTCAAAGTTTAAGAATGTTATGGCAATGTGAGATCAATGTCAAATCATGTCAAGAAAAACACATATGCATTTAAAATCTACAAACACAAGATTAAACTTCCAACAAACCCTGAAGGAGACTTTTATGCTCATAATGTTGATTGTAAAAATATTCAAGAGGTACAAAGATTAACAATAACGATCAACGAAGACAAGGCAGGTGGCAGAAGTTTCAATTCCTCTGAAAATTCTGACAGCACTCTTCCATTACTTTTCAGTTCGACTCATACTCTGAATCTGCCGGATAAGCAGCCTCTCCTATAGTTAAACTCTTGTAAAAAGCATGGTGTGCTGTGGGAATGATTTGTCTGTCACACATCGCACGCAGGTCTTTGCTCTTTCTGGAATCAATTCCCAATGGGGCTGAATATGCTGGTTCTGGACTCCGGGAAGGATTCATGTCAGCAGGTTCATTTCCACCGGTCGTGCATTCATGGACTACTTGATAGTGACAAAGGGGTCACCCTTGCGAACCGAATACATGCGGATTTGCTGGAACTTTGCATTTTTACGATCAGTGGTCTTGTTCATGTTGATGAACTCATGCTCTTGAAATCCCAAACGTCCTCCGTCACCTTCTCTGTCACTTTATAATGTGATATGTTTCTATTAGCCCCTTAAATGACTGTAGCCCACTGTGGAGTTGTCCACACACTGACATGCTTGGCTAGCCGCCTCAATCCTGGCATGAATTGAGTAAATTTCATGTTTAGAGTGACCTCTTACAAAGAAGACATGGTGGATCTCCTCAAAGTCAAATTTTAAATGTTTTACAGCCCACCACAACATCATCATTAACGGTCGATTTCTGTTCTGTCCACCAGCAGAATTTGACAGCAACCTAACTGTTTTGAGGGATCCTGACCTATTTAGCCATTCTAGATACTTCATCATGCACGAGGCAATGTCTCTAGCGCCACGTCTTGTGGTAGTTTCATTCTAAGGGTAACTGTAGCCTGTCTTGTCATGAAACCCATAAACACTCAAGTTGTACTTTATTCAGTTGTCCCATGTAGTAAATGTCACCCTCATTTGATTTAGGAAGTGGCAAAACTTCTTCCAGATCAAAGGTAGCGGCAGCAACCGTCTTGTCATTTGGCACTTCTTCTTTGAGGTTGTCTCTGTACTGGCTTGCAGCTGCAATTTCCTCTCTGTGATTCGTATCTTCTATCTTCATTAATTTCTTCAGTCTTGTTTTCACTGTTATCGAACGCAGAACAAGCTGCACATGTATCTTCCTTTGGTCGATGGAGGCCAAGGTTCAGAGTGTAAAATACTGTAACTGGATAGGTATGTAATGCGTGTTGCCCTCGTCTCTTTGCCATTTGAATTGCGTCCGCTCTCGTCTGCTTCAACAAATCCAACTTAAGTCTTTTCCCCAAGAGCTGGGCATGTATTAACAAAACAGTTACTGCAGTGCTCTATGTATGTAAGAAGAACTTTTTACAGTCTATTGTTTCGTAACCATTGTTGATTGTAATATCTTGAGGTTCCCTTTGGTCTAACAGTGCCTGTACGCCTATACTTTGGCTCAGCATCTCTGACGGTTGTTACTATAAAATCCCAACACATCTGGGGTTGTCCAAGCTCCCAAAAAGATTTCAAAATTTCGGTTCCTTGCTCTTCTGCGATTTTTTCCTTGCAACGTCGCTTGTAAGTATCTGGATTGCAGCCAACCCCAACAGTCTTTCTTTTTGCATAATTATGTAGCCTTTCCCTAAGTTTTACAAATCCTTTTTCTCCTTCCGTTTATTTACAGGCCTTTTGCGTCATTCCACTGTAGCTTGTGTGCCATGATGATCTGTGAGTGCGTCAGGACGTTTGTCTTCAGTGGTTTTTGTCACAGAGGGTGCATTAGGGTTATTGTGAATGGTCGTGGTAACTTTGTTTATCATATCCTCAATTAAATCTCTAATGACAAAAATATCAGAATGCATGCTACTGGCCTGAGAAGGATTATTTCCTAGACTAGCATTTTCATTTAATGAACTGTCTGTTGGCTGCAGTTCTGTGAGCGTCTCCGTGCTCTGGTTTGGCAGTATTGCTTGGCTTTCCTTTCACAATACACACCCATGGGCGTGTGGCAAGCCACCGTCTTCTCTGAGATCAGACTCTATTTCACAGCCATTCCTCAGTAAGTCAAAAGACACTGGTATTGTTTGGGTCAACGCACGTCAGATTTCCACCCGAAATATACCTTTAGAACTGATTCAACGGCGAATGCGAGCATTTCAATACACTGTTCCAGCAAGAGGCATAATGTAGTATGTCAGTACAAACTTGGTACATTTGATGAGGAAGTGCGTGAAATTCGACAAGTAATAATGTCGTATGTCGACATACGACATGCCTCAGTAGCTGTTACTTTGTAGTAAGTCGACTTGATACAATGTTCAGTGACGATATTCTTCGACTTTATCTTAATACAAAATGTTTTATGCTTCCATACCCGTTACTATTTTACGTAGATGAACGAAACCTGGATCAAAAGATGCGGCTCATAAAACTCTACAACATATTAGATTTTCATTTTTTCGAAATTTTGACTTACGACAATGATGAATGCCGGCGACGATTTACTGTCAGTGTCAGGTCTGTCATTATCTATGTTAGGTCTGTAATAATGTGACAGTGTCAGGTCTGTCTTCATCTGTTCAGTGTCAAGTCTGTCACCATCTATTCAGTGTGTCAGGTCTGTCTTCATTTATCAGGTATGTCATCATCTATCAGGTCTGTCATCATTTATCAGGTCTCTCATCATTTATCAGGTCTGTCAACATCTTACAAGGTCAACCCTATCACCATCTATCAGGTCTGTCATCCTCTGTTCAGAGTCAGGTCTGTCATCATTTATCAGGTCTCTCATCATTTATCAGGTCTGTCAACATCTTACAAGGTCAACCCTATCACCATCTATCAGGTCTGTCATCCTCTGTTCAGAGTCAGGTCTGTCATCATTTATCAGGTCTGTCAACATCTTACAAGGACAACCCTATCACCATCTATCAGGTCTGTCTTCATTTATCAGGTCTGTCATCATCTATTCGGTCTGTCATCATTTATCAGGTCTGTCATCATCTGTTCAGTGTCAGGTCTGTCGTCATCTGTTCAGTGTCAGGTCTGTCATCATCTGTTCAGTATCAGGGCTGTCATTATTTATCAGGCCTGTCATCATCTGACAGTGTCAGGTCTGTCATCATCTGACAGTGTCAGGTCTGTCATCATCTGTTCAGTGTCAGGTCTGTTGTTATTTATCAGGTCTGTCGTCATCTACCAGGTCTGTCATCATCTATCAGGGTCTTCATCATCTTACAAGTTCAGAACTGACATCATCTGTTCAGTGTGAGGTCCGTCATCATCTTACAAGTTTAGGGCTGTCATCATCATACAAGTTCAGGTCTGACATAATTTGTTCATTGTCAGGTCTGACATCATCTGTTCAGAGTCAGGTCTGTCATCATTTTTCAAGTCTGTTGTCTGTCGTCATCTACCAAGTCTTGTCATCATTAATCAGGTCTGTCATCATCTGACAGTGGTAGGTCTGTCATCATCTGACAGTGTCAGGTCTGTCGTCATCTATCAGGTCGGTCATCATCTGACAGTGTCTAGTCTGTCATCATCTGACAGTGGTAGGTCTGTCGTCAGCATGACTGTGTGACAAGGAGGGCGGCACCTGAGTAGAAGGGCTCTCTGGTGTCGACTTCGGTGCTGTGGAGGTTGACGGCTTCGTGGACGTCGATGTTGCCGGGGTGCTGGTTGGCGTGGTGCTGGGCGGTCTAATCGTGGAAGGTTTTGGGGGAGGTTCTGGGTGGCAGCTGACCGTCTGGAAGGTGGTCAGTGTGGCTTGCTCTGAGTGGCCCATGTAAGTGTAGTTGGTGGTCACTCTGAGGAAAAAATAATTTTTAATGTAGGCAATGTAGGCTTTGGATAGGCCCAGTCTTGAGAAGTTTGTCCAAAGGCGATTTGGGGTATAAAATATTTCTTGAAAAATAAATCGTACCATGCTACTACCCCATTGACACTATTTACATCCTTCAGTACGAGGCAGGTGTGGGTGGTTGGAAGGTGGTATTGTGTGGTTTGCTCCTTCTTTCTTAAAAACATCCTTTTCTCTCCTCCTTTTTTCCCTTTGTATATTACATGTGCTCTTGATGGCATACTGCATAATCTCTATCACAGGTGCTTCTGTCAAGTATGATATCTGAGGTGAAAACAGAAAAAAAGGAATGGTACACGTTTAACGCCCTGATCAACACTATTAGGTTATTTAAGTGGCGGGACTTTTGAGTTTAACGTTCAAATCCGAAAGTACCAAGCTAAGTGGGAAATTTGTGTAAAGCAAAGTGCCTTTCCCAAGACACAACATCAAATTGAGCTGACGCTCGAACCCCAAACCCGCAACCTCATGATTACGGGTCCGTTAGCCTAATAATTTGGCCACCAACTCCTGGTATTAACAGAAAAGTGTGCGCATGAATGGTTGGTGGTGTAAAGAGATTCAAATTGACATGACAATGGTCACTAAGGGAGCAGAGAGAAAAAACAAAGAATCTACAAAAGTAAACTTCAGCCCCCCCCCCCCCCTCCTATCCCCATATCTTCATGCATCACTAAAATCACAGCACACTGTTTTCAGTTCCTGTAAGACATGACTGCAGACCCACAGTGACCCTGGATGCTGTTCACTAGGTCATGCAGTTCAAACCATGGGGTCCAACTTTTTGGTTTTAGTAAGTGTTTTACTGCACTTGTAACAGTTTTGTTTTAGGAAGAGTTTTACGGCTCTTGCAACACAATAAGGTCATGTAAGTTCCGAAGATTAGAGGTGTTACAAGAGAGTAACAAACACAAAAAAAGAAGGAGGGGAGATAAAGACGATAGATGTTTGACAGGAGGGAAGAAGCAAATCCCACCAGAGCACCCC